GTTACCTTGAGTATGAAATAAAGGGACCATTTTTGAAAGACCCCTCTGACTGGATGTCTGCCGCTTCGAGTTTTGAACCTTTCAGTCAACACTTTATAAAAAAGCAAATTACTAGCTAATTTAGGGCCCGGCAAAGAGAAGGGAGCCTCCCCCCATCTTTGGCTAAAAATCTCCCCTGAAACACTTGCGCAAGTTACTTTCACTCTTTGAGCACCGTTTCCTCATAGGCAAAAGGGTGATAATAACGCTTAGCTTACAGAGCTGCTGTGAGGCTATACATGCTTAGCATACGGTGGGCACAGAATGAGTAAATGATAATGATTCTTCCTTATATTTCGTGGGTTCTTCAAAAGCAGGCTCTGGGTCTAATTCATCTCCCCTCTTTGATTCCTCTTGTCCTGATTGGCTTCAGTTTCCCCCACTGTAAAATACACACTGGACTAGAATCAAACTGGCATTCCATTGGCCAAAGTTGGCCTGCATGGATGTTTTGCTTGGCTCACGTATCGGGCTTAAAGAGGAAACCAGAGTCAACATTTTAAAATTGAGATATTTTACATAGAAATCTAGAATTCCATCTTCTCTTGAAAAATCAGGAGATGTGGCAACAATGAGTCCACATTCCTGCATGGCAACAATCGGCTGGAGCCAAGTGGCGGCTGCCCCCTTAGGTAGAGCATGCACTGTCAGTTGGCCAGAGCCCATCTGGTCTGCTCTACTCATTTTTATGATCTGCTTGATCCTGCAGATATTTCAATTTGTGGCCCTCTGGACAACTGGAAACAGTCTATGCCGGGCAGAGGGTAGGCACTTACTTACCGGGTGAATAAATCTCCTTCCCTTTTTTCTCTACCATTTTCTTATCTAGCCATGTTAAGGAATCCCAGTTACTGAGCAAGGTGAGTCTCACTTTGAAAAGTGAATTGAACAAGTCTGTTAGAGTCAGGACAGTCTAGGTTATACTGTGATTACAAACAACCCCTGTATCTCAGTGCCTTACAATAACAAGGGTTTATTATTTGCTCACACACAAAAACCTAGACACAAAATGAAAACATCCTCATAGTTTCACATGCATGAGTACATACATGAGCGCACCGGTATGTTCGCAACCATGAGTCAAACAAAAGCTCTCGCATATGAACATATGAACTCACACAGAACCCTATTTCGAGACTGACCAGCTTAGATTGCACAACCTTGTTTTTACAAGAGACACAAAAAGGCCCCAGGATCCAAGGGAGTGAGGGATGGAAGTACAAGAACATCCACCCTCAGCCAAGGAATTGCTCCATATAATAAAAAGGGTCTGAAAGCTTATAGAAGCACCTGAAGGCTTAAAGAAAAGATGTTAAGCACTTTGGACATTAAACATTTTGCAAATGCATAAATAGGCAGTACTCTAGTGAGGCCTCCTCCTCTGGGCTTCTAGTTCAAGAGGGAGATGCACCCCAGATGTCCAATAGGCAGAGAAATGGAGCTGGCCGGCCTGGGTCGGAGAGAGGGGCTAGGAGGCTGGAGTCCTCTATCTCCAGCAGGAGCTGTAGACAGAAAGGAAGGGGTCAGGGCCAGGTCACATCCATTTCCCCTCCCGGCTCACCCCTCTTTTTCGTTCCACCCAATCGAGGCTTTGTCACCTGGACTATTGCACAGAACTCTTCCTCTCTGATTTGCCCATCTCAAGTCTTGCCTCCTCCAATCCCTCCACCACAGCCACCACATTTCTTTTTGTCAAGTCCAGGGTCTTTGAATGTGCTCCTCCCTAGCTCAGACATTCCCTGGCTCCCCACCACCCACAGTTGCTGGTCTAGCCTCCTAAGCCTGGCATGCCAGATCTCCGTGGTTGGTAGCCTGTCCAGCCTCATCCCTTTCTGTTATGGCAGTTCCTCCAGGGTTGCTGCTTCTCTCACAAACCATACCCCACCCACCATTTTGGTCTGGGAGCGCCTAGCCTTCCCTCTCAGCCTCCCCAGGTGTCTATCTCTTCTCAGACCTCTTCCAGTCCTTCCTCTCCAGGCTCATCGTTGAGATTTAGCCGCAAATTACAACCTGTGAAGGCATCCAGGCTCCACATCTAGACTGGAAGCTCCCTGAAGGTAGAGACCAGGTCTCCTTCCAGACTTGGTTCTTAGCACCTATGTATGTCCTCCCCAGACTGCAGCAGACTGCAGGGGTCTGGGTAGAAAGCTCTGGGCTGGGAGTCAGGAGACCTGGTTCTTCCACTTGATATGCTGCATGCCCTAGGGCAAGTCCCTGCCACTCTCAGGGCCTCAGGTTCCTTCTTTCTTGACATCAGGGCACTGAACATTTGCTGTTGAGCACAAAGCTCGTTAAACTGATGATTCACTGAACAACTATCAACTGCCATCACAGGCGTCAGACTGAGGAGCTTAGGTGCCTGGGCCCAAGGAGGTTCAACCCACCAACCCTGACTTCCCAGTTAGGCCATGCTTACCACAATGCCCTCCCATTTCCCAACTATACCCACTCCATGTTCTCCTTGCAAGAACCAGGCTACCTGACACAGCACAGGGCTGCAGCAGGGAGATGGAGCCAGAAGGGTCCTGCGAAGAGTATCTCAGAGTCAGCAGAGCCTCAGCCGCCTCCAGCTTCCGCCGCCACTCTGAGGAGGTAGAACCCAAGGCCTGGTCAGAAGCTTTGGGTGCCTGAAAAGGAAAAGGTGTGAGAGAATGGGAGTTGGGAACCCACACCTCCCATGCTCATGCAACAAGTGCCCCTTCAGTCTCCAGTTCCAGTGAAGTCCCCACCCACCCCGAGGCCTTCTGCTCTTCCCATTCACTAAGCTCAGCCCCTGACCGGGTTCTGGACCCCACTGTTTTCCCAGGATCTGCGACTGCAGTAGAAGAGGGTCAAGGGTGGCACAGGGCTGGAGGATCAGAGTTGAGCGTCTAGAAACAAAGAAAGGAGAGGCCTGGGGATCAAGCCCTCTGGTAGACACATACTACCAGTAGACAGAGAGAGGCAGGATTTTGCAACATCTGGCTGTGGGAGTCTGAATGCCTGCTGGCCATTAGTCATTGTGGCTTAGGCAAGTCCCTTCCCCTGCTTGGCCTGTTTTCTTTTCTATATCATTTTATATCTTTTTCTCTATATCTTTCCTGAGACACTAGTTCTTGCCACCTTTTTCAAAACTCCTGGGGCAACAGTGAAGTTTATGGGAAATCACAGGTGTCTGTGTTTTAACCTGGAAAGCACCTGGAGAGATGTGATTACTGTCCCTATCCAGGGACCGGTTCTCGCCTCCATATTCCCCAATCCCCACGGGACTTGAAGGACCAGCTTGGTTCATCTCCAGGAAGCTTGCTCTGATGGCCTCTGGACTCTCGCCTGGGCCTCTGCGGCCCTCGCCATCCCGGCCCCCCTCTTCAGCAGGACCTTCTGTCCCATCAATATGTTTCATGTGGAATAACAGCCTCCATTTGTTGAAGGCCTTGTGCTAGTCCTCTTGTCAATGCTATAGGAGTAGAATATTGCCCCCTCTCAGTACACTGATAGGGAAATGGAGGCTCAGAAACATCAAGTCACTTGTCCAAAGTCTCAAAAATAAGAAATGGCAAAGCTGGGAGAGCCCCGTCCTTGCCCATTATTCTGAGATGCCGCCTTCTCCTCCCCTCCTCCTCCAGTTCCGTCTCCTCCTCCTGCTTTTCCTCCTGTTCCTCTCCTCCTCCTCCCCGCGCTTCTTCTTCTCCTCCTCCTCCACTGCCGCCACCGCACCTGCCGCCACCACCACCCACGCCGCACCACCGCGGCAGCCGCCTCCACTTCTTCCTTCTATCTCCCATGGCATCAAGCACAAGGTTGGGCACCCAATCACACAATATATAACTAGCTGCATGGCCCATCTCACTCTACTCACGTGCTGGGCAGGATAGGGGGCCTGTGGGGCTCCCTGGAAAGTGAAATTGTTAGTTGCTTCTTCAAGGGTGCTGGAGTCTAGGGCAGACACAAAAATTCTGGGGCCTGACCAATCAGCAGAGTCCCTTGGGAGCTTGCCTGCAGGAGCAGAGAGCACAGGTTGGAGCCAAGTGCCAGGCTGGCCATGAAGAGATGTGGGCATGTTTTGGAACGAAGATAGGAGCTCAGAATGTCAGAGCTGAGAAGACCTTGAAGACCAGCCAGTCCTACTTTTCATTTTGCAACTGGGGAAACTGAGGCACAGAGAGGTGAAGTATTTCTTCCCCAAGGTCATGTGGCAAGTTGCACTAGTGTTAGCGATGGAACTCAGGTCTTCAGGACACAGAGGAAGGGGTCTGGGTAGTGGGCTGAGGTGGGAGCCTCCCCCACTGGCCCTTACCTCCTTACCTCCCCGAAGGTTGCACAGGGGTAGGCCTCAAGCTAGGGTATGACGTTCTCTTTCCCAGCTGTGAGAGACTGGGGACAGCTTAGGTGAGCCTTTCCTCCTGACCCCACCCTACTCTACCTCACCCCCAATCTGAGGTCTCATCTCACCGCGGACCTTTTTGACCCCCCAGATCTCTCCTTCCCACCAACACTTGGTAGATAATATTGATGACATCGTATAGTTGGGGAAGCTAAGGCCCAAGGAGTAACTTTCCCAAGGTTTCATCGAAATTGGATGGTAGAACCGGTGACAGAACTACTCATGCTCCGTACACCCAAACCCAGGCTCTCTCTCTGGCCAGACACTCACTGAGGACTCCTCCTTGGATGGCCAACTTCTTGGCATGGCTGTGAGCTTTGGAAGGGGCGGCCGCACTCCTTATCAGTCCTTGAGCCAGGTGCCTCTTTAGGTGTGCCCCCTGCTCCCTCTCCAAGGCACTCTCAGCAGGCAAGATCGTGCAGTGTTCCCTAAATTGGGGGATTGCAGGTCTAAAGTCAGTCACATTTAGAGGAGGCCCGCCCCTGCTCCCCTTATCAGACACCACACTCACGAGAAGAGGACACACTTGTGACACTCGCAGGCCCGGAAGAGGCAGAAGTGCTCGTGGTCCTTGACTTGGTCAGTGATGCCATGGTTGTGGCAGCGGGCACAACGACTTATAGCTCTTCTGGGGCCAAGTTCAATCCCCCATGTGGCTCCAGTCTCAAGCCCTTTGGTGGAGTCGGAGGGGCAGCAGGGCATAGCAGGCATTTCATTGGGATCCATGGTTCTAGGGTCAGGAGCAGAGGTCAGGATGGCCACATGATCCCCTACCCTCAACGTAGGTATTTCCTCTGCCCTCGGAAAACCCCACCTGAGGTGGCTGGATTCCTCTCCATCCAGCTCACCACTGAAATCAGTTTGCACCTCCCTTCTTGCTCCTGTAGCCTCCTTCCTAGGAAGCCCCACTCGCACATAGCCTCATTCCAAGAAACTCTTGGCATGGGTCCTGTATGCTTTCAATCCAATTATTAGTCTCCTTGCCTGCCTTCACTCCACATAGACCCCGTTTTCAGGCATACACATGCACTCTCGTGCCCCCTTCAACAATTACTACTCCCCCTTCTCATGTATCATCCTGTACTCTGCTATACCCAACTATTATTCCTGGCATCTACTTCCACAATTGTCTTCCTAACCTCCTACATTCATTCACTCCCTACCCATGATTCTATGCCCCCTGCACTCAATTCTATTGTTAGTCTCGTGTATGCCCTACATTTAATTTTCCTCTCATACTCCATTCTGATTTTTTTCTTGCACCCTACTGTAATCTTAATTATTCTCTTGCTCCCCCTTTAACCTGACACCCCTTTGCACCCCATGAAATCATATTATTCTGCTGGATTCCAAGCCCCTCTTTCAATAATTATTTTCATTCATCCCCTCGATTATTCATTGAATAGATGTTTGGTGAGCCCCCTATCGAATGCCAGACTCTGGTCTGGTCAACAGCCAACTCCTCACTGCAGTAATTGTTTTCTTGGACCAGCACATCCCCTCTGCTTTTATGCAAAACCATGCATTCCCTCCACAGCCTCTCAACAATCTTCCATGCTCCTCTCCACGCTTCAACAATTACACTTGAGCACACCTTCCACCACCCCCACACCTGGACTGCACCACCTCCTCTCGGGCAGCCCAATCATTCGCTGCTGCCGCCATCTCAGAATCAAAGGCAGGGGCATCGGCCCTGCCCCAGGGGCCAGAGGCCAGGGGTCAGGGGGCTGGGGCAAGGCGTCCTCCCACAGGGGTTCCACTGAGGTGGGGGGGAGGGGCGGAGCGGGATATCGGGAGCAGGAGCAGGTGGAGGTTCCCCGCTGAGGTTGAGGAGAGGAAAAGGGGCTGGGGATCCAGAGCAGAAGGAAAGGAGGAAAGAAGAGGTGTGGAGAACGAGGGTCATATTTCTGACGCAAGCCTGTGGTTACCCCAGCCTTCAGCAGGTCGGAATCAATTGTCTGCGGACAAGAGGCCTGAGGGAAGAGCAAGCTCTCGCTCCCTTTCCCGCTCTTCCCACAAAGGCCAATGAACTTCCAGCGCTGCCTTCCCGCCTCTCACCGCTGTGGCGGGCGACCAATGAGCCTCGAGTTCCACCGAAGCTCACTCAACAAAGTCCCGCCCCCCTCGCCTCCCGCCCACTTCTCCTCATGCTCGCTTTACTAGGCCAGCCAGTAACTGGTGAAGTGACGTGGAGCTTTGTGCTCCCCAAGCCTTGTTTCCCAGACTATTCTCTCTTTGGACATGAAATATTATATGTCCATGCATTTTCAACGTCCTTGGTAATCTGAAATTTACTTTTACAAAATTCAACATGTGTTTTTAAGATTGGTCCATATTCCTATGTCAGGGATTCTCAGTCCGGGGCGATTTTGCACACACACGCACACCCCGCGCTGCCCCCCGGGAACATTTGGCAGTGTTTAGAGTCATTTTGGTCCATATTTGTGTGTCTCTGTTTCTGAGCTTCCTGTTCTGTTTCACAGATAAATTTGTCCATTCCTGTGCCAACACTACACTGTCTTAATTTTTATCTCTTGATAAGACATCTTGATCTCTGGTAGGGCAAGTCCCTACATCTATTCATCATCTCCAGGCATATTTTTGCTATTCTTTGCCTTTTGCCCTTCCATATAAATGTTAGGATCAGCATGTCATGTTCCCTGAAAACTTGTTTGCAACAGATATGGGTTGCATTTTTGTTGAATCTGTGGATCAGTTAGGGGAGAATTTACTATCTTTAGGATATCCAGCCTTCCTGGTCACCAACATGGGATGCCTCTCCATTTATGTGGGTCTCCTTTAACGTTTTAATCTTTCAGTTTAGTAGTTAGCTTTATCTTTTGTGCATTCAGGTCTTGTACATCTTTTATGGTATTTATCTCAAGATACTCTAGAGTGTTGTTGCTCTTATACTTGGTATCTGTTTAAAATGACATTTTCTATTTATATCTAACTTCTGGAAATCCATTTGACTTTTTAAAAAGTATATTGATCTTAAAGTCAGCCACCATGCTAAACTCTGTGATATCTAGTAATTTGTCTATAGGCATTCTGCAGTTTTCTGTGAATCTGTGAGTGACAGAAGTACGATAATCAACTTACAGGTTTCTTACTGTGCTGGCTAGGACATCCACTACAAGGTCGAATAGAGATGGCAAAATTGGGCGTCTTTGGGTTGTTCCTAATATTAATAGAATACCGCCAACACTTCCGTATTAAAATGGGTTTGCTGTGTTTCATTGTTTTCTTTCCGTCCTTCTTTCTTTCTCTTTCTTTGTCTCTTCTTTCTTTCTTTCTTTTCTTCTTCCTTTCTCTCTTTCTTTTCTTCTTTCTTCCTTTCTCTCTCTTTTTTTCTTTCTTTCCCTTTGTCAGATTAAGGAACTTTCCTTATATTCCTAGTTTAATTTGTCTTAAAAATCATGAATGGGGGCCAGCCTGGTGTCGCAGTGGTTAAGTGTGCGCACCCCGCGGGG